AAAGGGGGTGACTGATGATTTTGGGCTAGCCAAGATTCATCAGTCACTCCTTTGTCATATCTATATCCACCACGTTTACTCAAGAATTTCCGGGTCAGCCAGTTGGTGATAGCGGCCACTTTGCTGACCATCTGGGCCTGGGGCTTGAAATTTGGATTTGCCTTCTTCCGCCGGAACAGGCTGCCAAAAAACCCCCCTCCTTTACTTCGGTGATCTTCGGATTTCCCACCTCCCAGCCGGATCAGTATGAACGATGGCTTCTTTGTCTCCTTGCCAGCTGCTGTCTCTTTCTTCTTTTTCTTCCTCCCAAGGGATTTGAAGTGCATCATCAGGTTGGAGGTGGACTTCAGCACCCCCTTGTTCTTCTTCTTCTTCTTCTTTGTGCTGTACTTCTTCAGTCCCCAGAAGAAGCGTGAGGTGTTCTTGAAATGGCTCTTCTTGGTGTCCTTCTGCTGCCTCATCCCTTTTACACCCATGAAGAGTTTGGATGTGCTTTTCAAGCTCCGCCTCTTCTTGGGCAGGACTGCTGGCTCTTTTTTGGCCATGACCATTGCCTTCGTGGCTCCCTTCAGCTGGGCTTTGGCATGTTCCTTCTTGGCCACTTGCTTCTTCTTGGCATCATCTGCTGCCAGGCCCATGACCAGCTTGGAGGCACCTTTCAGCTGCCTCTTTGTCTTGGCAGGAACTTCCTTATCCTCCTTTTCTTCCAGCTGCCCTCTCCTCCCTGGGCCTCCCTTCTTGGCCCCTTTGACCACTCCTTTCTTGTCCTTCCCCTTCTTCTTAGGGTCATCTTCATTCTCATCCTCCTCTTCCTCAACCAGCTCGCTGCCCATCTCGCTGTCTTCGGTGTTGCTCTTTGCCAAGTCAGCATCTGACCCATCGTCCAACTGAGTGACAAGTTCCTTTTTCCCCTTTCTGACATCCTTCCCTTTGCCTGCTTTGCCCTCTTTTCCTTTCTTAGCCATTTCCCTGGAGGTCAAGGATATTCATGCTCTCCTTGGTCGCGTCCCCTCTGGGGAGAGCTCAATAAAACTTGTTCCATGCGGGAACAGAGAAGAGGAGGAGGAAGAAAACAGGATGAAGAAGCAACAAGATTTCAGGGCAACGCTTACATGGTATCTCTTGAAACTGAAAACCAGCCTCTGTATCTCTGGAGCAAAAAAGCCTCTTTTTCCCCTTCACTTGTCCGGTTGTTGGCAATTACTCATTTCAGAGTTATGTAGAGAGAAGACTCTGTTTTATTTACCTTTTGAGTAAGCTGGATAAAGCTCTTGTGGGTCTTCAGACATCTCTCCTTGGCTTCAGCTACTGTATGGTAGACCTCAGTAGTCTTCCTCAAAAGCTTAAGAACTTGGGAGACTCTGTCCGGGCCCAGCAGAGATTGCGTTGAAGGGTGATCTTGCACGCAATGGTCCTCCCTTCAGGGCTGGCTGGAAGCTCTTCCCCCACTCTCCCCCAGTGCGTTTCCTACAAGATGCTGGGAGTAAAGTGAAGGTATAGCCCTCGACGGTGAGCTTACAATGTAACCGTATCCCTTGGGCTCTCATCCGTATGAATAATGTAAACGGACCATTCCACCTCCAGACGGAGAGTCCTCCAAAGGAGAAGTGAGGAGGACAGAAGGAAGGAAGGAAGGAAGGAAGGAAGGAAGGAAGGAAGGAAGGAAGGAAGGAAAGGATGAGCCCCCTTTTGCCAACCCAGCTCTTTTTCGCCACCTTGGCTTAAATGCTGTCTTAACATACAGAACCTGCAGGACTAAAAATCAGAACGTGGAATAATCATCCGGACTGCTCGGCTGGATCCCAAGGAAAAAAAATCACTTCTCTGTCTTCCTTTTTATTTTTATGGGGGTGGGGGGTGGCGGTGAAAGGAGCTCCCACCTCCTTCTGAAAAATGCAGCTGTGCTTGATGAAGACATTGCAAGAATGGCCCTTCTGGGTTCTTTGTGAGCGGGGGGAGGCGGGGGGATGGAGGGAGGTTATGTCTGCAGCCACCGTTTAAATGCAATTGCTTCAGGGGGAAAAATGGATTCTGCCAGGAGACACCTTATCTCCTCGTTGCGCTTCAGGAGATATTAGAATACCGAGATGTCTGGGAAAGAGACTGCCAAGCTGCAAGATAAGCTGAAGGAAAGGGGGTGCAATTACACACCTGGCAGGCGAGCAGCAGGAGGGGGGGTGCGCACACGGGGACGCTTTCTTAGTGAAGCTTGTCCTTGCAACAGGTCTTGGGAGATTGAGAAAAACAGCTGCGCAAAGCAACGTCAGATTGTGGCTCGGAGTGATGAATGGCAAGCGATCAAAGGGGGGGGGGGGGAACAGGGGTGTTTGCAGAGTATGGTCAAAAAGGTCAAGAGGGCATTCACAATGGTGTGATCGAAGTGTCGCACACACAAAATTGGTGGAGCTTCGAACCCACCGTCATGGCCCACCATCTTTGACTCTTTTGGAGCACATCCTGGGGACACCTTCCTTACAGAACGGGGAGGAGTCATTCTTTCGCCCCTCAGTGTGACTGACCTGGACACAAGCGGGGGGAAAGGCATGACGCAAAGATGAAGAACAGCGAAACTTTAAGCCTTGCGGGTGAATTTCCAAGCAATTCTTCACCTTCATTCCTAAATATTATTCCTTGCTAGGAACCAATCACATAGACGATGCAAGCTTGAAAGGTCGCCCCAGGAACACTAAGACCCCAAATGAATTTGCTCCCCTTTTTGTTGAGTTGTTGCTAAAAATGGACACTAGCAGGGAGGACTATATTTGAATTGCCATTTGCTGGAAGTGACAAGCAGGACTCAAGGGCAGAAAGCTTGACCGGTTCTGTTCCCTGGTAAACACTTTTACAGGTAAGTGAATATTAACTTAATATTCATTCATATTCATATTCATGAAGGATGAGAAACTGGCAAGGACGGGGAAGCTGGGAGACTGAGAAGAGAGGTGTTGATCTCAGTGGTGTCCTGCCGAAATCTGAACGTGCAGCTTTGTACCTCTGGCTCTCTGCAATCTACCTGGCTTCGCAGGTCAGAACCAGACGGGAGGAGGAGAGGCGAGAGGCGAGAGACCCACGGAACCCAAATAGCCGGCCACAGGGCTTACCTTTCAGAACGTGCACCATCAGGGGCTGCCACCTGGACGTTACCCAAAGCAGGGGTCAGTCCCGAGCCCTTGGGCGCCCTGGGTCTGACATGAGATGGCAAGGCTCGGCCGAGGCAAGGGTGTCCGAAAGATCGGAAGACCCACACAAAGCGACCTCAAGATGTCCGGTGCCATCAGCATCCCACTGCCACAATCTTCTGCCACCCCCCACTGGCAGGAGGTTGCCATCACCAACCAAGAGCCTTGACAACTGTTGCTTCCCCCACAGGGGAGTTGCGCTCCCACCCGGGCAGGCCTCTGACGTCAGGGCCCAGAGCAGTAAATCAGAGTGACAACAGAAGGGCACCGGCCCCCGTGCTTGGCAGCCGGCGGGGAGAAGCTCACGTTCCTTCTCCTCTCAATCTGCCCGCAGTCAGGAGGAAGACAGGCGTGTGGACTTGGGGGTTTTGCCTCTTTTTAAAGAAAAATCCCACTGGCTTAGAGTGGGATGCTGGTTGGGCCCCTAGGTGGGGGTTCAGCGCCCTCCAAAGTCTGCTACCAATTAGGTTATGGGGCAGGGCGCCCACCGGTGCATCTTCAGTGCAAGGAAATGGGATTGGCAAACCGGCATTGCCCCCACTTTTTGGCAGCCACGCCGTTCCATTTGGATGGCACCACTGAACCCTCGCAGGAGATGGGAAACAAAAACGGGACTGTAAATCTTAAAACAGACTTAGAAAATACGAACCAGATCATATTTCTGTCATTGCTCGCCCTACTGCCTTCTTGTGCCCCCCAACAAATATCAACCCCCTCGTTACTCGCATCTTGCATAAATGCGTGCCCCCAAATGCGCAGATGCCAATTCTATCATCCTCCTATTTCACACACCGGTGATACTTCCTACCCTAGAAATCTGATGAAGGGAACTGCAGTTCACGAAAACTTCTGCCTTTTAATGCAATGCGTTGGTCTGAGTTACCAGACTCCTCCTGGTTTTTGGCTACCACGGACTAACACGGCTCTCTTTCTGCAATTCCTTATAGCAAATTGTAAGGAGCTGCCTTTCTTCATGTGTACCAACCCCTGCAAGAAACCTGCCTGCCTCTTGAAAATGAGACATGATAGACTGCTGTAATTTTACATTCATATCTTATGGAGGAGAAGTAACTTTTTAGGTAGGTTAAAGGTGGCATCAGAAAGCAGGGGACAAAGCCCTCAAAACAAGTTACCCCCACCCCACCCAGACATACTCCCGGACGCCTGTAATTATTTAAAGGAAAGGATATTTTTGTATCCGACAATATTCTTTACTGTCTCCTTTAAATTAAGGAGAGTTTGCAACTGTAAGCAATCTTACCACCATACAAACTTATGGATAGAAGTTCTTACGGTGGTGTTATAATTTTGTACAAGGTGTGCAAGATTAAATTCTTTCCCCACTCTACTTTTAAAGCAGACAAAGGGCTAGAGATGAGATTTATTGCAGAGAATGAGGAAACTCAGTTTTAGCAGTGTCCTGAAATCCTGTGAGTCTTCAAGTTTAAATCCATGCTTCACTCTTCCATCTTTTGAGCTTTGAAGGTTTCTGAAATCTGTCTTCAATTTCAAAGCAGGTTTCTTCAGAGTGAGAATCAGAGAATTCGGCTTCCCCGGCTTTACCCTTGCAAATGGGATGCTAGGACCTATGTTTATGACATTCACAACAACCTAATGAGGTGGGCTAGGCTGGAATACAGGGACTACTACTCATAGGAAGAAGCAAAATATGTCATTGCAGCCCATCCTTGCGGTCCAACCCCAGCTCTGCAAAGCCTCCGATAAGAAAACCGAGCCTTCGTTCCCCCAGCAGATGATACCTCCTTCGAGCTAACCTACCTCCCAAGGTTGTGGTGAGGATTTCAGAGGAGGGGATAAAACTCAACCCACCCCTCACTCTTACAGGAGCAAAGCCTCGCTCTATCCGCTAACTCAAAACCTAATAAATATGTATCAAGCAGCTGATGCCCATTTTGCACTCTGGATTAAATGGCAGCGAGAACCAAAACTTCTTTGGATGCTCCTAAGAGATTGGAGGTTGCAACGAGGAACGCGCCCCACTTACCTGGGCTGGGGCTGCCCGCTCCCCCCTTCCTCCCCTTTGGGCTGGCAGTGGGCTAAGCCCTCGGGGGCGCAGGTGACTCCATTGCCTTGCCTTTCAGACGAAGGGGCCGGGCCTGGGCCGGGCAGCGTCTTCACCCAAGCGACCGCCTGCACTGTGCGGCGCCTGGCTGCCAGACATCTGCCTGCTCCATGCATATTTGATGGCAGCTATTCTTCCCGGCAGTCACTGGACAGAAAGAGTTGGGGGGGTGTCCCTCCCTCTGGGGAGGAAGCATTTGCAAAGGGGCAGGACAAGGTGGGGGGACGCATGGATGCACCTCAATACCCAGGAATGGGGGCCCACTTCACTTTCTGCACCTGCAAACCACAACACTCTGGGGGGAGTTTGGGGCTGGCCACTGTCTCGGTTGGACCGACCTTACAAGGCCATCGTGAGAGGAAAACGCAGGGTGCTGCTGTCAAGGTGAGTTGTAACTGCCGCCCACTTACTTCCTTTTATGTGTTTTAACAGTGTTTTTCACCATTAAAACGCATAATTTACACAACATTAAAAACATTAATTTACACAAGCTTAACCAGGAAGCCCTTTGGGGGGGGCTGAAAGAGGGGAGAGAAATTAATCGATGTCACTTTAAACACCCACAAAGCAGCCGATAAACGACAAGCAGAGAAACAGAGGAAGGTTGGAGCTCACGCGTTCAGCTCCTCCCAGCTGGAAAAATGGAAGCGGAAGTGAAAGAACGATTTGGGGGTCTTCGCCCTGAGGCCACACCGGGGGCTACAATAAGAACCCCCTTGCCTGGAGAAAGGCAAGACAGGCTGGGGGAAAGCAGATGCCCCCCAAACAGGCTGCGTTTGCCTCACGTGCTAAGCCCCAACTAACCCTGCCACGCGACGCCTCAGAGGAGTGGAAGAGCCTCAACTCTTTCGACCGGCCCCGGTTCCTGTTCCTTGGACAGCAAATAAAGTTTTTCCAGGCAGAGAGAGAAGAGATGAAGCAGGGGAATCGCTTGCTTCATCTGTTCACGTTCCACACCTACTAAAAGACAGAGACGTTTGGATGTTCTCACCCACAGGAGAATCCAGAGACTAATTTTGGTTGGGGGAACAAGCACCCCACTCCCCTCTCTCCGCCCCCTCAGCTCCAAAACCAAATTCTTGCTCTCCCATTGTGAACGGCAACCGAGTTCCAGCTGGCGTGAGACCAACAGGGAAAGGAACAACACACTGCTCAGAGGAACTCGCCAATGGGCTGAATTACGATTCAGGCATGCCAGTTTGTCAACATCTGGAGAGCCAGCAGCTTCCCATTCCTGACCCAAGTTGTAGCACCAACATTTCAGTTAAGGAAAGCAGAAACAGGAAACCAAAGTAGTCAAAACAAGCTCCCGAGCTTAGCAAAACTCGCTCTGGTGCGATGATAAGAGTGAAGGACCGCTTAAGGAACAAGAGACCCAAACAATCACAGGGAACCCCCAACCTGATGCTTTTAGTGTACTGGAATACCCATCATCCCCAGCCAGAGCAGCCAACGACTAAGAGCCCCGTGGCTCAAGACTTCAGAAGGGCACCCGAGGGTACAGGAGGTGTTTAGAGCAATCTACTGAAGTGCTACGTCGACATTTAGAAGTTCCAAAGAGAAGTGAGGACCATTCTTTATTTCAGCGGAAGGTCAAGGGAGAAGGGGGTGAACCATCTGGAGACGAAGGAGGAGAAGTCGGGGGTGGGCTGTGGAACCAGGAGATGTCCTGCTTCTCAGCTGTCCTCTGAAACGGGGAGGGAGGAGGGGAGAGGCCTTGCTAACCCAGGCTCCCACCCACAGGCAGATCCCTCCTTTGTGGGTCCACCCAGGAGCCTCCTGTCTGCAGAGAAGAGGTGGCCAGGCTGAGTTTTGAATAGGGAATGG